ATGTTCGGGTCGTATTTACTTCTTCGTTTCACAATACTATTTCTTACGTGTTTTTTTATATCCTTTTTCATTTGGAGCATTTTTTATTTTCTCTTTCTCGCTCGTTGGACTTTATTTTTGTTTAAATTGTCGTCACGGCGTGTGATGCGGGTTCTTGGTATTTTTGGTAATGTTTGTCTGAAATTACGACGATTTTACTCGCCGCGAAACTATCATGTATTGCGTGTAATGTATTTTTTTTCCTTCTTTATCAAATCGTGTCGTCTGGTCGTGCTGCGTTGGTGGGCACGTTTTCTTTTCGAAAATGGTATAGTTTACAAATCCGAGTTGCTTTGTTGCCAGGCAATATGTTCGTCGCGGCACTGTTCTCCTTCTTCTCGTCTCTTCTGATCGAATTTTCTGAGTGAAATGTGTATCGATGCTTATGCTCGATTGTGATGCTTTGTTAAAAGTCTCGAGCACTTTGAAATCCATTGTAAAAATTTGTATTCGTACAATTTTTACTGCGTTGAGGCGAATAAACCGAATTCAGACCTAAAGATGTTTTTTTTCTGTCATCCATTCCAAGTAATGTATTTTACAAGTCATTTATGCATTATTCAGATTGTAAGAAGAAAAAAAAACCAGAATCATTTCCAGTCTTTCGCTATCGAACGTACAATTTTTTAAGACCTTTATACGATCCCGTTCCAAGTATATCTCAACTTGAAACACTCAAATTCCATCCAAGACATCTAAATACATATATTCAACAAAAATATGCGAATATGATTGAATGCGTGCATCAATGTCGATAGAAAGTGAATTAGATTTCCAACATATGCCTCTCTCAAGTAGTAGTTTACTGATGAAATGTTTTCATTTTAATATATCAGGTTATGGAAAATTCATTTTTTTTATTCTTCAGTTGTTGTTGTTGTTGATTATGTTTGAAATATCGTGTTACTGGTGCCTTCGTAATGAAGACACGCATCAACATAGTATTTATATGCTCATACATAGTAAGTTTTGCTTGGAGTATGCATATGCGGATCACCAGTAACCAGTACAACATTTTTTCTGTAGTCCTTATATCTAGATCGGATTGTAGATGAAAACATTTAAATGAACCCGGAGAAATTCCATTAAATATACACGTAATTGTTTTGAGCCTCGATTGCACGATGCACACGCTTATTTACAAGCTTATTTCCTACCTTTTGTACATCAGTTTTCATTAGATCAGCTATTCGAAGCCGCTTAGAAAATAATACTCACGTACTTCATCCTACATCCACATTGTATGTACGCAGGTATGCACACACACATGCACATCCCCAAAATGTTACACGGCATATGCGTTTCAATTTCGTTGGTTCAAACCATTCAGCATAATTATGTAAGAACAGTGATAAAAACATATTAGCCAACTAGAGAATATGGAAAGGCACTTGTTGTATGCGAGGATATGTGTGTTCTATTCTATCTCACTGGCATTCTTGTCGGAGAGATTTAGGTAGATAGAGCCAACCTGTGCTTCTCTGCCATAAGAACCAATGTATTTGAAGTGACAGTGAGTAGCGCAACAGCGTATAGCACTGCACACTTTTTGTTGAAAAATGGCGAAATTTGCCGTAGAGAGCGCGCTTTCTTATGAACATTCCAATGGGGAACTGTTCGCACCCTCTTGACGGTTTTTTTTTGATAACTAGTAGTGTTAGACGCTGTTGGAGTAGCGGTGAGTAACGGTGGCGCCTAAATAGAGTCTGCGGCAAGCTTGGGAACTATCAATACTTCTTGTTGTTGCGAAATTCATGACAACAACAACAACAAGTATTGATAGTTCTTAAAAATGCCGCAAATTGCTAATACATCTTATTTAGGCGCCACCGCTATCTTGCGCCGGCCAAAAGTATAGGTTGGATAGAGCTCAAAGTTCATGGTCGTTGACACCATCGTAACCGTAATCTGAAAATTGTTCAGCCTGAATTACTTTTCAACAGAAAAATACAGGAATGAGAACTTCTAGTACATCATCCAACAATACGACTCGGTTTTATGGGCTACTCCCTGTGAGAATATATGAATTCTTTGGATTACTCAGATGAAAATGAAACGATTTAAATTTTAAAGTCCAACAAAATTCATGATACTGTGGGAATGGGGCCTCAAAATCTCCCAAAATAACTCAGAAATGGAGTGTCGGGGGACAACACAAAATAGGAGGGCGGGTGGTCATATCCCCAAACTGTATGTCAAACATAAAATGTATTGAATATATCTAACTAATAAAACCGGTTATACGATCAAAATATCGGGTTTTGTGGGTTTTATTCAACAAAAAAACTTATGAATGCTCTTAAAAAACACCCTTTATAGATTTACCACAAGATTGAAATGCCTCGAGCAAACTTTGTTGCCAGACAAACATTCCATTCGGTGGCGCCGTCAAATAACACGAACGATGCATCCATCAAAAAATAAAAAAGACCAAAAACCAAAGATGATACAGAAAAAAACAACAACAGGAAAATTCGATAAGAAAAAAGAAAGGTACGACTCGTACTGCATTCAGAGCCAACGCAATGAAAAAAAAAAATCAACATTAAATGTTTTTGATTGCAACTCAAGCAATTACAAACAGATGTTCATTTTCACAGATCCTTGCTTCAATGATGAAATCAATTTTCAGTTTTTTTATTCGTTGTTGTTGTTGTTGTTGTTTTTTAAATAGAACACAAAGCTAAGATTGTATTGATTTTTTTCCCTTAAATTCACATCGTTTTAAATCTTATGAATAATTTCTACTTAGATTTTCGTGCCGTTTTGAAATCAATTTTTCAACCACAACCGTACATATGGAATATAGAGGCATTTCCAAGAAATTTAATTAATGTTCAAGTTATAGCTGCACAGTTAATAATATATTATTAATTATACTATCGGTATTAACATCGCATGTTAATAATATATTAGTATGATAATACCGGTATTAACTGGTATTAACTAGTAAGTAATAGCGATATTAACAGGCGATGTTAATAACGTATCAGTTCTTAATACCGCCTAGTTAATAATATAGTATTAATAATAATTAATAATATATTATTAACTGTGCAGCTATAGTTCAAGTGTGATTTTTTTTCATTACGTACGCATTTTGATTCATTTACTGCGACACTTTCGCTATTGAAAATTGGTTATGGTGAAAATTAATTGTGAATTGGTTTACCGGAAGTGCTGCGAGTGTTACAGATAAATAAAAAAGCCATATGCTACACAACAGATTGTTTAAATTAACGGTTGAAATTGTAAAATTGACACAAAACGATACGATTGGTTTTATTTTTGCATAAATGTTTTGCATTGTTTTTATGCCACTTTTAAATTAACACCGCTTTTTTATAATTACATTCACACGATTTTTTTTTATTGGATTTTATTTTATTTAATGAATTCACAGGTAGTTAGCAAGACGCACGTTATAAGGTTTTGGACATCCATCGAAAGAGATGGTGAATACAAGTTGTATATATCCAATGGATATTATCCATCTCTCTTACTCCTTGAAATCGATTATAACGTGAGTCTACAACCTTATAACGTGAGTCTTGCTAACTCCCTGTGAATGAATTATATTAATTTTTTCTTTTAAAATTCATTCTAGAATCACAGTATAAATATTCCAAAATAAATGAATAAACACGTTTTTCTCTTTCTCTCTCTCGCTCTCCCTCTCTTTTTCTGAATATGACATCGATTTTGATTCACATTAATATTATTGAAGAATGTCAGTCGACTGGAACTGATGGAAATAACATGTTAGCACTATCAAAATGGATTTCACAAAGGGAGGAAAAGTGGTTGTTTCTTCTTTTTTTTCGTGGAAGTTTTGAACGTTATACATATTATAAATGTTGAACAATGAAGATGTGGTTGAATGAATGATTATGTGCCACCATAAGCATATTCGAATTTTCTCATTCCTCCAACGAGCGAATATATTCCGATCAAATGATTTATTAAATTTGCTACCCAAATCCGTTTGACAATTGACATTATCACACAATGATCGTGTGTGTGTGTGGATCAAAAGTGGTTGGCATTGTGCAATGAGCATTTATATCCACAACATCATTCATTAAACATTTACAATTCGCGGAAGAGACAGATTTGTTGCCGGAATCGTATAAATTGTGACACAGTTTTACACGAAAATCCATGGAATGATTTATGATTTCATGATTAATGAATACTGTATGATAATTTAATTAAATTCTAACAAATGTACATCGAATATTATTCAAAGTTTTAGTCAAATCTGACACTGATTATCTGTTACAGTGACTGTCATCCGGTATTATGGCTCTCTCGGTCGATTCATATCAACCAGCGAAAATGGACCATTTAGTGGTATGGAACAATTTTAAATGAATTAACCATTAAACGTTGTGGAAAATATCAAAGAATTCCGCATGCATTTCAATGAATAAAACCAAATTAACTGATTGCTCTGAGAGTGACATTTCAAATTAACTGCCCTTTTACAAACAGTTCGTTTGTTTGCTTGCTTGCTTGTTTGTTTGTGTATGCATCCATGTATTTTTGGTGGGGCTTTGTTTATTTTCACAATCGGGTCCAAATGCAAATACAAAAAGAACGCTGTGTCACAAATCAAGTGCTGATATAATCGTCGGAACACGTTCAGCCACAGATAATACACCATCAGATTCAACAAATTCTCTGATGTTATTACAGAATCAACGGCATAAAACATGTTCATATCTCCGTGTGTTGTCTACTTCATAAAATGGTATATAATTATCGAAAACAGTTCAGTTTTAATCAATATATAGTACAATCACAATAATGTTGTTTTTCTCTCTCTCTCTCTCTCTCTCTCTCTCTCTCTCTCTTTAAATTCAAAAATTATTTATTATTGAAAAGAAACCTCAAGTTTTATTTTTGTCGCAATTTGATTTTTTTTTTCGTCTTCTACTTGCTACTCTTCGTCTCATTGCCACCTGTATGGATTTGGCCTATATCATGTACAAATGATTTTTAATCACTGCTTCGTTTGACAATTCGAGTAATGAGGTATGTGATACTTCTATTTGTAAAATGAGTGAATGGATTCGTATTTTTGGTCGTGTTGAAGCCATTGCCCAGATAACCGTCGTTGTTGTTGTTCCTTTTTTGAGTTATGAGTGTGAGTCTCTTATTCATTTTTCTGTTCATTTTTGGAATTCCATAGCATTGAGAATTTACAAATTGTCCGTCAGCATCACATTGTTTGGTGCATCATTTCCATTGTTCAATGTGATGCCAGGAGGAGGTTGATGTTATGTCCGTGCTGTTTTTGTTGAAAATTTTCCATCGCTGAGCTTATACGATTGTGTCGTTCGTCGTTTTACTGGAAAATAGCAGAGATTTTCATTCTAAATGGCAAACATTTCAAACTATCATTCATTTTAAAGCTTATTAAATTGAATATAACTCTCTGCAGCTCAATGATGCATGCTTCTAAGTGTAAACAACTAAACGTACTTTCTTGGATAGTCGCTTTTACTCTCTCTCTCTCTCTCTCCCTCTCTCTCTCTCTCTCTCTCTCTCTCTCGTTCTTTCGCTCACAACGAGCAATTATTTATTGCTTTGCAATTTGTTATTGAGCATTAAAAATAACATCGAGAACCATTTCCAGGCGATAGGAATGCTTGTAATTTTCCATGGTTTCGAAATTTGTGCAAATAAAAAATGTTAAAGTTGGTGAAAAAATGGCAGTCATTTTTCATGGAATAACGAAAATGGAAAATTTTTAACCTGGTTTCAACGATTTAAAAATCTATTACATCAATGGTACGCAGTAAATATCGGAAAATTACTGAATTGAATTGATGTTGTCGTGGTGTATTAACGACCCCTTCATTATTCTCCCATTGCGCTACTATTTTACGGTTACGGTGTGTAACTCTCGTTGTATGTGATATGTGTTCCAGCTTCATTAAAATTTAACGGTATTAAATCAGTCCAGCACCGTCATACAAACGTTTCGACAGATACCGCAAACGGTGATTTAAAAAAACGTTACTTTTCTATAGTTTTTTATATTGACAGTTCAAAATACCGCAGAAATAATGAGAAAAAACGAAAATAACGTTTTCTGGGCGTTATTAAACGGCTCTGTAAAATAACGGTTTTTGGAAACACAGAAGAAAAAAATAACGCGTTTTTAAACCCTATCCATCAGCAATAATTAAACAACCGAAAATATTGGCAAATCAAATGATTGAATTTCAACGCTCTAATTATAAATCGATCGTTAGTGAATGAATACGCTTTTGCATCACAATTTTTCTATTGATAAATTGATATTGTGTTCATGGTTTACAACATGCGAATTTTGAACAATATTAATAATTTTGTCATATTTCTCAAAGTTTTTTTTTCGTTATGTTCGGCTCGATCAAGTGGCTTGGAATTATTGTCACACACGTACATACACAACATATACAAATAGCGAAAGCGTTTTTTTTTCTGTAGAAAACTTGTTTTTGTCATTTTTATTACGTCCAAACTTTTCCGAATATTTTCACAAAACTGGATTACAAACAACAAGTTGAGTGAACGATCAAAAAAAAAAACTTTTGACAGAATGGCGAAAACTTTCGGGAAGCCCTCTTCAAAAATGAATTTAAATAGCTGCGGAACGTACTCACGACCAAAAATGAATAAATTATAATCAACAACAAGTTTATGTGTCACGTTGACAAAAATGAAATCTATGAAATGCATAGCATAAGCAAGTGTGGATTTAAAACTGCACAAAAAAATACTTACAAATGAAACACTTACATAGTCTTGGCTTGCGTTCGATTGACATGGAATTCCGTTGCAAAAATGTGTCATCCATTTTCCACAGGCGGAAGCAGCAAAAGCACAAAATTCGCTGAAAATAATGGCGAAACCGTCGATTCATCCAGTAATAGATTATGGGATTCACCATGCTATTCGAGAGCAAATAATTAGAAAATTCATTTGCACACATTTTCAAATGCAACGTTTAAATTTTTCAACAAAACTATAAGTGATCATCGCCACAAAGGCGTACATAGTAAATGAAAATGAAAACCAAAACCAACAAACCTATTCGACATCGCCAACCAGTAGAACGCCAGAAACAGGTGCGGTGTAATATTGGTGGACGTTATATGGGGCTGATGATATGCATACACATAGAACATGTGATATGGTAGCCAACATATCGCAAATATGGTGACAACCGCAATAAACATACGCACAACCTGCAAATGATTGTTTATACTAAATGAATCTCAATTTGAATGTGAATCGATGAATTTGCGCGTAATGAAGAAAAAAGAAGGGAATTATTTATGGAAACACTAGAACGGGGACAATGACAACAAATAAAGGATATATGTAGTCAACATGCATATCGTTGAAGTCTTTTTTTTCTTCTTCTTTGAATGGCCAACTTGCGGCGAGTAAATTCCAACAAGTTATGAATAAAATACACTTCAACACACATTCAGCAGACTCATGGCGAAGGAGAACAGAGAGCAGGCGAGAGAGAAAGGGAGGGAAAAGAAATAGTGACAACTTCAAATGGTTTATGTACATGTTTCTGAAATTCGTATTCAGCACTCGTTTCTCAGATTCTAGATACAAAGCAACGTTTGTCATCTTTGTAATATCATTGTTGCCCCATTCAAATATCCAGGGCCGTAGCCAGAGTGGTGCTTGGTGGTGCGGAGCACCACCAAGGATTTGCCGAGCACCACCAAATATTTTTCGAGCAACTACTTCATATAATACGATAATTTTTGTATGAACGCAAAAATGCCGAGACAAAAACGGCAAACAAACGAAACATCAGTGCTTCAATATTTTAAATCAGTTGAATCACTTCTGTGTTTTGTGAAAGCTAACGATATAACAGCAAAAGGCTTATCGCTTCTGATAATCGATCAAATTACTGCGAATGACGTTATTGTTGCTAAAATTATTTGCCAGTGTTATGATGGGGCGTTTGTGATGAGCGGAGAACAAGGTGGGGTGCAAACATTGATTCAAGAATATTTCAAACAAAAAATCTCTTATATTCATTGCTTTAATCACCGTCTCCACCTCGTCGTAAAAGATGTGGTATCGGAAATTGATTCATGTCGGTTATTCTCCGATCAAGTTAGATTGTTGCATAATTTTTTCAATCGTTTCAAGGTCCGTAAAGAATACGAAGGTACAAACATTCCTCGCCTGATTGAAACAAGATGGTCTGGCCACCTAAAAGCCATTGAAGCTATCACAAAGAACTATGGAGAATTGATTGAATCGTTAGACAAAATCAAAAATGAGGGAGGACAGAAATTCAAAGCTGATGATATCGCTCTTGCTTCAGGCCTTTTAAGCGCAGTCATGGACAAGAAGTTTATTTTTATGCTGCATTTTTATGTAGTTTATTAAACCTGATTGAACCCGCAAATAAAATGCTTCAAAGTCATGATGTAGGTTTCACAAAAGCAAAACATATTATCGATGCCTTGCACACGATCATCTTGGCTGAACGAACCGATGACAAGTTCAACAGTTTCTTGAAAACCACTGAAAAAATCATGAGCACATTTGAAGATATTGAACCACGACCGCAAAGAATTCGAAAGCACAGCACTCGATTAAATAGCTCTATTGTAATGGAAACGCTTGGTGGTATCGAAGTTGATGGTCAAAGCGAAGTCGAAAAGGAAAATTTGTTGCTGAAGTCGCAGTATTTCAATGTGATCGACCGCGTATCAAATGAAATGACTCGTCGCTTTGATGAAAATACCAAAATTTTGACCGCAATCGAAGAAGTGAATAACATAGATGGCGAAAATTTTGCACGAAATGCTCTTAAGTCATTGAATGAACTTAATTTGACACTGCCCTCAGATGCCGAATTAGCCGTGGTGAAAAAGTTTTTATCGAAAGAAAGGAGCACACATGGAATTTCCAAAGATACGTATCACCTACTAGAGGCTGCAGAAACATTTGGAAGTAGTACGGCCATAAGTGAGAGCTCATTTTCATCGTTATCAAGAATAGACACGGTGCGTCGAATGGCGATGACGGATAAATGCCTTGGCAATCTCGCTTTCTTGGCATTCGAGAAAAATAAAGTTAACACATTGGATGAAAATGCAATTATCCGAAAATTCAACGACAAAAGCAGACGATTAAAATTATTTTAAAATGTGATGAATCAGATCCTATTTTTGTTTTCCATTTCATTTGTTTGCTATTTCAATTTATGTCAACATTATTGAACATTACAATTACCATTATATTTTTAAATCAACAATTATGTTGTCGCAATAGTAACTTTGAATTTTATATTTGATCTTCAATAAACTAAAAATATTTGGTTATCCAAACATTACAAATTGTTGTTATTGTTACAAAACACCTATTCTTTTTCAGCACCGCAAAAAATTTTTTGAGCACCACCAAAGAAAAATTCCTGGCTACGGCACTGCAAATATCTTTCATATGATTCGCACACATCCATGCACAGTGCACACAGCCGCATACCATGCTCACGCAAACCAACAATGACAAATAAAAATACAGAACAAAAAATGAACGAACGATTGAACACGCGGATGAGTGCCATATTGATATATAATAAATGTTTCCATACTAACCTTTTTCTTGGACTTTACCGATTCAGTTTGACGCTCCGTGTTTTCACCGATTGACTGCGAACCCCACAGCTCTCGGCCCATTACGTAATAACATATGATCATAACAACCATCGGTATGCCATACGTAAACGCCAAAAAGACGATATTGTATCTGGTGAAATGGTGAATAAAAGAAAGAAAAAGTTCGATATGAAAGAGCGAATGGACAAAACAGAGACTGAAAAAGACAACGGTATTAACAAATCATTGCAATGTCGTGTTCGACTAAGAGCAAAAATTGCACACATAGCTAGATAAACAAATGGACTGCATGCTTGAAGGTGATACATTGGGTTCAACCCGGCCATTGAATATGACTTTTCATATTCAAATATTACAATTTGCACGCATCTAATAGTACAGCGCAGAGATCTCATTTTGTATACGCCTATATCTCGAGATATTAGTAGCTCCTATTTTTTGGGCGATAGCTGTGCAAATTTTTCAATAGCAGCTACTGCACGAATGCACAATTTGCATTGCCAATACATTAGTTCTGGAGATTTTTGTTTTGTTTATTTTCTGTTGTTTGTAAACAAAGCAAAAATCTCCATAACTAATGCATTGGCAATGTAAAACTAAATGGCGAACATTTTACGTCTCTGTAATACGTACAGTGGGAATGCGTTGATATAGGCATACTTGTTGACAAATAACGGTAAATAAATGAAAAAAAAATCTCCATCTGTCTTGCTTGTGTTTTCTCCGTTGTTGTGTCTTTGTTTGTGTATTTGTTCGGTAGCTTCTATTAAAAAATATGCACAGCTTTCGCCTGAAAATAGGAGCTACCGATATCTCAAGATATAGGCGTATACAAAATGAGATCTCTGGTACAGCGGACAGCAATAAATTCATGAATAATGTCTAGTTAATAGATACTTTATTTATATTACTTAAACGACTAAGCGGTGGACCGACAGCACATACCGGAGCAAGAATGAGAAAGGTGAAAGGGTGTGTGTGAACGGGCGCGCGCGCTCGTGTGTGTGTATAAAAACACCAACTGTAAAGAATCATGTTCAGCATTATTATGAAAAACACAGCAAATATTTTATGGTTGTGCCTTTTGGGAATTGAGAAAGGGTACTGAACCATTGTATTGCCGGTCTCAAGAAATGCGATTCCCAGCGGCTAAAAGCTTTAAATGCATACATATTGTACATGGTGGCTGTCGTGTTTTTTCTGTCGGCCCACCAGCCGTTGTTCGACAAATCCTTGTACTCTCTTGTTGGCTTGATTCTCTTCATTTTTCTCTCCATGCTTTTTTCCCCCACCTCCTCCTTCTCCTTCTTCTTCTTCTTCTTCTTCTTCCTCTTCTTCTTCTTCTTCTTCTATCTTTCAATATGCGAGCCAACGGCAAAAACAATAGGATCCCTGATTTCTTTCTGCATTCAAGCATTTTTTCTGTATGCACGCCAAAATATTTAGTATGTAAGACAGGAGAGAAGGCACTGTCAACCAAAAACGAATGATTCGGAGATATCATGATCAAGAAATAAATACATTTTTGAAATGTTAAACAGAACGAATATTTCTGTGCAATTTACAGAAATCCATACAGGAATGTTTGAATTGTTTTTGTCTGTGTTTATGTGTGCATGTGTGTATGTGTACCACCTCAATAGACTCGACTCGACAAAATAGACTCGACTCGACAGCTATATATATATACTCACACAATAGAGAAATCATAGCGACAAAAAATATGCCCCAAAAACGATTGAATGAATAAATTATTAAGATTAACATTAAATTCAGAACGAATTTATCGTCTGCAAAATGTAAATGGGCAATTAATGTGCTTATTTGAACAACAGTACTTTCATCAATATTTGAATGGTTTTTATTTTTGACAAATATCTTTCGAAGGGCGTACGTCTGTGTGTCATTTGTATCTAAAAAAATACAAATTTTTCATTGAAGCGTAACGTCTGCATTCTGTGACATAACAAAACAAAACAGACATTCGTCACGATGGGCTGTTCTGACGAAAACGCTTAAATAAAAAAAAATGTAAAGAGTATTTTCTTCGGTCCGAATGATAAGAAACAAAAGAGTGAACTAATTCAAACCGAACAAAAAAAAACGAGAATATGTTGACAATTCACGAAAGAGCGCCAAATAAACTTACACATAATCTAACGTTGATATCGGATACTTTCCATCTGGCCACAACCTGGTCCATCATTGCATGGTATAAGAAGATACACAATTTAAGTTATACAATAAAAGATATACAAGATATAAAATAGTTACATACATATAGCATACGGTCCTTGTTTTTCCATTGTAATATCTGTGTGTATTGAGTTCAAGTGTCACAGTACCCGCAAATAAAATAGGATATTTGTTAAATGGTAAATCACATCGTCACAAGCAGCAAAGATGATTTCGATTGTTTTCCCAATGTAGCAGCGATATACAGCAACACCGGCAGCAAGGAATTTTCCAATCGAACGACAAAAAGAAGAAACATAGAATGGCATAAGGGATAAACATTTAAGAGCTTACACGATGAACATATTAGATTTATTAAGTATTAGCGTGCGTTTTGTGTTCGATAAAGTGCCAATGTCTGGTAAGTGTCAAATAGATAGAGCCATACGATAATCATGTCCGTAAAGATCAAGCAAGACACCAACCAGACGAAGATTTTAGATTTTTTTTGTTTGATTTTTTTTTTTGAACAACGACAAATCATTGACCCCCAATCAACGACTTTACAAGTCAACAAATTCCAACGATACTCACTGTTTTGATTCGGTTGTTGAATAAATAAAGCATGGTGCAGATAGTAATGTGCTTAGAATCCAAATGATGTATAACAATCGTCGAGCTTTTTTCCTTGAGTTACGGCGATGCAACGGGCGAACAATTGCAACATATCTGATGAAAAGTGAAAACATTAAATAACAAAAGGTCGAAAGAAATGTAGTTATTATCCTTCTTCTCATTCTTCTTTCAATTTGCTTGCAACCAGAGTTGCACTGAAAACTTTGTCATGGAAAAGTTTTCAATTTTATTTTCAAATCAACATTGTTATTCAATTTTATTGCTGTTTTGTGGTAATCTCAACAATCAATTTACAAAAGATGAAAAAGAAAAAAATTCGATCAGTAAATGAAAACTTTGATAGAAACAATAAACAAATATAAAGTTGGTCACTAATGTACTATCGATCGTAGCAAAGAATTTTGTAAACAAAACTTTTGACAATGCTAATAAAGCCAACGGAAGAGAAATGGATAGAGACTAATCGACAACAAATACATAGGACGACACAAACACAAAATAAAATGGCAAATCTCTACAATATATTTCCGTTGTTCAACATACCGATTAAATGAGATTGCCACTAATGTGAATACAGAAACTGCAACTGTAACATTTCCCGCGAAGTTATTCAACGAGCAATAAACACTGCCAAATGGCCAATCAGAATTCAACATGTAGATAAAGTTGAACATACAATTTAATGAAGACATAAGCAGATCAGCAACGCTTAGATTTAATAGAAAATAATTGGTCGTCGTCCTCATTTCACGGTGAGCTGCAAGGGATGGAAAAAAGAAGAAAAAAAGAGTGGAAGAGAGAGAGAGAGAGAGAGAGAGAGAGAGAGAGAAGATGAGCAATAAAAATATAAAATGAACTGTTATCCATTGTGTCATTCCGCGTAAGCTGTTTGCTTACGTGAGTGTGTGTGCGAATGTGCTTGAGCACAATTCGATTTGCTACAATGGTAAATTTTTCGCCATCTCATCACACGGTGAGAACGTGTTGAATGTGATGCTAACAATGAATATGGAGTATGCATGTGGAAAATAAAATCGACGCTTTATTATTTGCCAAAAATGTACGAAATGGAAAATGTGGTGTGCCATTGGCCAACACCACACATCTACTACCTTTATCTATATATAAAAAATACATATGCACACGCAGCGCGTTCATTCGCATTTGGTGCATTATTAAAGGACTGCTCTCGAGCATAACAAGCGGGATGGATAATTATCAAGGTTTTTCATATACTGGCCAACAAAGACAACATAATTGCTATTATATTGCTAATGCTGATTCCAAGTGCTCAAACTTTAATTTTAAAGTCGGACTTTAA